GTCTGTCGTTTGGCATCCTCACCATGTCACGTAGTGCCTAAGGATCGACCGTGTTCAGAAACGGTTCATTCGTCTGGCACAGAGAAACTTGACGTGGAGTGATCCTGACAATTTGCCGCCGTATCCTGATAGATGCCGACTGTTGGGCTTAGACACACTGGAACAACGACGGAAAGTACAGCAATCGTTGCTTATTGCTAAGCTGGTGAATGGTGAAACTGATGCCCCCGACCTGCTTGCGATGTTGAACTTTCGTGTGCCGAGCAGATCTCTTCGGAATACAACGCTACTGCAACCAAGTTTTCACCGAACCATGTTTGGGAACAACGAACCAATCTCAGCGTGTATTTGTGCGTTTACGGCTGTCGAAGAGTTTTTCGAGTACAATGAACCAACCGAACGTTTTGCAAATCGGATTAGGTCTGTGTTAAATTAGCTCTAAATTGTCAGATGAATTATTTTAAATACAAATACAAATACAAATGAATCAAGAGATCTACGTCGTTTCTAGTGCCTAGAAAAGCGGCTGCTACCATTCCTAAAGCAACATAATAGACCTGTGCTGTTCTGGCCGGACTTGGCGAGCTGCCACTATGGGGAAAAGGCAATCGAGTGGTACGATGCGAACATGACTGTGGTACTCAAATCCACAACCCTCCCAATAGCCCAGAACTCCGCCCTATCGAACAGTATTGGGCCTTGGCCAAACGGAATCTCAAAAAAAAAAAAAAACTATTAAATCCATGGAAAACAAGCAGCAGTTTAAAGCTAACTGACGTTCGGCGGCGAATGAGGTCGATGATACCACTGTGCAAAGTTCAATGGAAGGGGTTAAGCGGAAGACACGGCAGTTCGGATTTGGCAAACCAAAAGAATAAACGAACATTTTTCCTTTAAATATATGAATTGAACTACCAAAAGAAAAATTAGAAGAATTTTGTGATATGAATTTCAACTAATAGAAATGATTTTTTTGTTGACCAATTTTTGCGCGTTCCAGTCTTTATCATTCCCGAGCAGGAGAAAAACACTTATGATTACTTAATTCTGTTAATTAATAGGAACACTGTTCTAGTAGCGGTGGTAGTTGCTAACTTTGGTTCCTATAATACTGGAATGAATTGATTTCTTATTATATATCCATTATCACAGGAACACTACTGAAACTATAAGCGCAAAGAAGTGAAAATCATATGAAACATAAATTATTTTCTGTAATCTCCGAACTAATTTTAAATTTAAAATATACTTTACTTTAGGAGAGTTACCCATGGAAAATAATCCCGGGATTTTCTCCCAATGCCAACACAACCCCTTTACCGTAGCTATAGGTACACCACTATTATTTAAACACCCACCCTAATCAGTTTTGGTCTGCTTAAGCTCCTTTTAACCAGACGAAAATGGCTGAAGAATGAAATTATAACGATTACAGCTTGTTTTATATTTACAAAAATAATTATTCCACATGATCTAAAAAAACAGTCATTTTATGTTTAAACACTTGCAAGAGTTGTTTATCGTTAATGAGAAAATATCGGGACTACTAGTTTCATGAAATTTATGCTGGCCAGTCTGTCCTTACAATATCATCTGTAATATAAACCCGTTTTTCCAGAATGTTGTTGGTTGATCATTTTGTGATCAATATTTCTTTTGTCGAACTTTAATTGAGCCGGAGATTAACCAGCGTCTGGCCGAAAATCTCCTTAATAAGGACAACCAACCACTCAACCAACCAACTAATTTTAATTGATGTTTCCCGGTGACACTGCACATATCAATAGTTGGTATTTCGTGATCGTTTAGAATCAGTAAATTTGTACAATTAAACAACTGAATGGAGTTGAGAATTACCGACCAATCTCATTAAAAAAGTTTCAGTGACTCCAGTGACAATATGGTCAAAAATAAAGTGTAATATTACTAACCGAAAAGGAAAAAAATATCAGTAATACAGTGCATGAACTGAAATTACAATGCTTTTACTGCATTTTTTTATTTTTGAGGCCATAAAAATTACATGAGATTTTCGACATGATTGAAGTACATCCCCTTGAATGTAATATTAACATTTATTTTTTGCTGTATAAAACACAAATTTCACTTAACATTTCAATTGTAGTTGTTGATTACAGATTCATGGGATATGATTTAAAAATTCGCGAAGTCAAAACATAGTTATTCGGTATTTGCATAAAATTTTCGAACATAGTGGTTAACTTCATCTATCAGGGTTTGTACAGACTACTCAGATAACGTGGTGGCCGTCTTTGTTGAAATTTGTTGGAAGTGTTTTAGATTGGACGTAACTCTGCACAATTTGGTGGATTTGCGGTTTTTGGTACAATATTCGCTTGATTTGCTTCGTACCACTCCATCACAGTTTTAGCATAATGGCATGATGCTAAATCGGGCCAGAGCAAAGGGTTTTTTTTTGTGGATTTTGATGAAGGGTAGCAATCGTTTCTGCAGGCACTCCTTCTGGTAAATCTCAAAAAAATAAAATCCTAATATCTGCATATCACTAAAAATTGGAAAATTTGGGATTTAATTTGGCATAACCAAAATGTTTAACAGCCATATTGTATTTGATCACCATGTTGGATTGGAAAGGTGTAAATGTCCAATGGTGTTTATAATTTGACTGAAAGTCTCGCTAATAAAAATAACATAACCCAACCTATGAGTTAAAACTGCATTTTACTGTGTACACCCGGAACCCGTCCAACCCAAGTGTGTATACTCTCTTATAAGGCAGACAGGCTAAGAAACATGTCTGACGTGAACCATTCCTGGTCCCGATATCCACCAATAAATCAACATAAATTACCCCCATATTTTCTTAATTTAATTCTAACAGCCACTCAATAATACACAACTAAAAATAAATTTTAATATTACATTCAAGAGGATGCACTTCAATCATGTCGGAAATCTCATGTAATTTTTATGACCACAAAAATAAACACAACAGTTCATGCACTGTATTACTGATATTTTTTTCCTTTTGTCAAGTAATATTACACCATATTTTTGACACGATTGAAGTGCTTCCACGTTAATGTGATATCAACATTTTTTTGCTGTGTAAGGTGTCATTAATGGTTCATTCATTAAATTACCATTTTTGTTTGGCTGACAATTTCATCGCCAGCTCATTAACTTCAACCAGCCAAGAGTCATGCTTAAACACTGCATGATCGATCGTGTTTGTGAAAAGTCTGATGCATCGCACCAATTGAACTATCAAACTCATACGGGAAAACAAAAGGAATTGTGAAAGCATACAAAGCATCATTGCAGCAGTAATTCTAGAACAAAACTTGTACAAAAACTAATTCAATCAGATTATATTATCGCGCACGGGGCTTGGAGCAAATGATATCCGAACCACAATAACACAATAACACAACCGGTCCAGAATAACACAACCGAAAACCAAATCAGCCGAAAACAGCAGAAACAAACATGCAATGGAGGAACAGCAAGATTTAATTGGTATTTTCCGGTGATATTATTGAAATTAAATATAACCGAGAAACAAAAATTAAAATCTAACAGCCCAAGTAACATTGCAGGTTTTATCGAAGTTTTATAGCATTCTACAAGTCCAAATATTGGTCTACAGAACCCTCATAAAACCAAAATTTTTATCCTGATGAATGTGGGCGTCTTAGTGGAATACCTGTATAATGAGAGAGAGAGAGAAGGATTTGTAATTTCCATTTAATTCCACTACCTTATTTGCTTATCCTTGACAGATACGCGTATTTCGTCTACAATGTGCAGACTTCTTCAGTGTCTTGTACTAATAGTCGAGTATTAACTACTATATGGGCACGAAGAATCGCAGAAACTTTTCGAACAGTGCACATACACCGTTTAAAAAAATCACGTAAACTTCAGTGATATAAAATAGCGCACAAGTAGTGAACGCTAGATTTGTCGTAAATTTGGTGATGTTTCATGTAAATTTAAACGCTTCATCGCATAAATAGGCAAGCTCGTGAATGATTTAGTTGATTATACTAACTATAGCTTAACATTATACGAGTTAGATTTTACGTGCTGGTTCAGATTTTTGTTCTGTGTACGTTATTTTGATACTTCAGGATTATGTTATGCCAAAGAGGTTCTAGAGAAGGGGTCTTTTCAAACGCAAAAATTTAAGCAACCCTCCAAATAGCATCCATTCTTTGACAAGAAGTTTTTTGTCCAAACAATATCGTGCATTTTGGATCTGGGGTCTGAAAAGACACTCTCAAATTGTATCCGTGGCCAGTGGTGAAAACCAAATTTAATTTATTCCAGTACAACCACAACCAAACTCAAATTTATACATGATACGATTGAACATTAGAAAACAATATAATACCGTTAACGATAAAATTAATTTCCCCTGAAGAAGCCTGCCAAAAACGACCAAAGCGTTTAGCATTTGAAAACTTATCGTTTAATCTCGCCAGAGGACAAAGCCGAAATCCGTACAAACCACCCGCCAACAGTCGAAAAACCAATTTCAATATTGTGCAGAACCTTCACTATTCTACTTCAAAATTGTTGTCTGAGTCGGTATGATGCCTTCCATTTCTAAGTTCATCAATTGTAACAAAACGGTCTACTCTTGATAGACAACAAATAAATTAATAAATAAATTACATACTTTATTGTTTAGAGTATGTTAAAAAATTACGTCATAACTTAAAGGAGAGGTGGATAAGGTTCAATAGATTGTGACCGTGTATGTATTGAATATATAAAAATGAGCGGCAAGGGTAGGTACTAGAACATAACCTTTGGAAAAGTAATGGAACCGTCCTTTTCATTTTAATGCATCTCAAAATTTCAAAGCATGTTTCGAACATGCTTCCCTTCGATAGTTTATGGCTCTAATACTGTAATGTTCGACGTTATTACAAACCCCATAAATAAGCGTAAGCTCATTAAATTTCACTTGCAGCACTAACAAGCGCTTGTTTTCTTCTTCAATTTCGCAGACGGAAGCGATGGCTTTTCAATTCTCCCACTTGCGGCTTTACTTACCGGTGCCCTGTTCACCATTGGCATAGCTGTCCTGCTGGTCGTGGTCTTGGCCATACGGAGGAAACGTGACGGCCACGGTACCGGCTTGTGCGATGGCAAGGAGAAGCATATGGGTAAGTTCGGAAGTGCAATTTACGTGGAATTTCAAACAATGTACAATTGAGCTAACTACCTTCTCGCTTTTTCCCCAGCAGGCATGGATATCACTGTAACCACACCACTGGAGATGGGAATGGGCCAGCAGAAGTATGTGGTCGCCTACACGCTCAAACAGGGCGTCGAAAAGCAACCGGACATATTGAACGCACAGAAAACTCAAGGCTCTGCCAGTATACAATCGATAAAGGATATCCAGAAGATGGGCTCCCCGGTGGGAATAAGACCGGATGCATTGTGCAGCACTGGGACGACAGCAGGGGGTGGCAGCATCGGAGCAAAACAAAGCACAATCTATGCCACACAAACCTATGACCAAAAATCGACACCTTCCAGTCGACAAAGCACGTTAAAACGAAACGATACTTCCAACACGTACAGTTTGTTACAGCAGCAGCAACAACCGCATCATCTCCAGAGTAAACCTCCTCCAGCTACCACCACTGGCTTACCACAGTATTCTGCTAGCTACGCATCTGCCGAAAGTGGACTGTTAGATTACGACAAACCGTACGGCTATTCAACACTTCAGTATAATCACAATCCTCCTGCTTTGGTGGATCCATACAGCTACAAAAGCTCATCGACGGATCCGGCTGATCCGTTGGACTACGACAAAAATCTCGACTATAGACTGCTTAACATATCCAACGAGATTAAAAATAGTTCCACCACCAATCATATCGAGTATAGGAACAATATCCACAATAGTAGTAACAATCTACAGACAGGTATCAGCAGTAGTACTGCAAGTAGTAATAGACCACAGGCGGGAAGCACAGGTGGAAGTAATCCAGAGTACCGGTATTCCGGCTCCGAGTTCGCATCAGATTTGATGGATTTTAGCAACGTTCCATCACCGTCTTCCTCTACTAATATCGGTGCGACGTTGTCGAAAAATCGAAACCGGCAGCACATCATCACCGATTCACTTCCGGGACCGGAAAGCTGCGTGTAGAGTTGTAGTGGATCATCATTCTTGTATAGTAGAGTCACGGTGTATTACGAACGGGATAGAACACTGTCCGACAGCTTTTTGAGATTGTCACATCCGCATTACCCCGTTGTTAATTACTAGCTAAATTTGAGGGAGTGTACGAGTGTTGTTGTGTTACGTTTATTCGAGATTATATATTAATTGGTTCCCGCCGATCATATAGGAAAACGTTCTTATTTTATTTAAGATCAGCATCAAACGCACGAAAAATAGAAACGCTGTCTGTATACAAAAGAAAGAAAAAACAAATAATCTTCCCACAGATGATGATAATTTAAGCATGTAATCAGATTTATTTTCTTGTTGTGAACACAACTGTACATATAAATAGGGATTTATCAACCTGAGTACGATGGTGTTTCCTTGTTGCATTTCATAAGATGCCAACTTTTGCAATGATTCCACTTAATTGGTGGTCAATTGTCGTGGAAAGGCATCCTAATGTGTTACCTTGTAACGGAAATACAATAAGAAAACACGCGCGGCCCAGAAAGTGATCATACATGGAAAGCGCCAAATGTCTTCCAAACACGTAAAGTAGGAAATTGATATCAAACAATGTAATCTCAATCTAGATTTTCAGAGCATCACGATGGATGTACAGTTAAGAGTGAAACTTTTTTCACCAGAGCTAATACTTTATTAGGCTAATTTTATTGATTCCAAAAACGCGTGTTCCTTATGTTCTGGTAAAAAGAGCCAACAACGAGATCAGTAAAAGTAACACCCATTTGATATTTTGAACGTAGCAATAAATTCAACGACAACTCGTAAACCATAATCACGGTTCAAATTTTAATTTCGATTTTTTAGGGAGCATCATGCCAAAAACGACATTTTTTTATTACCGGACGTAACAAGTTGGACGAGAAATGCATTTGTAGCAAACTGAAAGTTGAACTATGGAATTGTTCACCAATTATGTGATCTCTCCTCACGCTAATAATTTTAGCAGACTCAGCGTCAGAGGTGTGGTCAAAGTAAGAAGATGAAAAAAACCACAAATTTTATTTCTATTTTATGTCAGCAGGCTTCTTTATTATATTTATTTTTAGATAAATTTTCTTTATATTCAGAAATTTTTTGTTCCGTTTTAATTTTATTTGTCCTCCTCTCGACCAATTTGAGGGATGTTGAACATTTATGATAATAATATTTGAATCGGCCTAAGTGTAAAATGTTTAAATTTTATTTTTTTGTAAGAAATATGGGCAATACTCACGCCAGTACAGTGGCATACCTCAGGGTTGGAAGTTTTCCCGTTTTCTCTGGGCTTAGAGAGCATTTCGAATGAAATATCTCTACCAGTAAAGTGTAAATTCAATCTTTTTGCCTGTCACAACAAAGAGTCGTTACTAAGGCACACTTAGATGAGCATAGCAGTGGAAGATAAATATTGTTTACAATTTTTCCGAAATTTGAAAATGCAGCCCCAGTATCTTAACCTTTGGGAGCTCTTATTTAAAAAAAATGGTTTGATATCTTGTATTCAAATAAATAAGATTTTTGTTCACAGTAATTGCTCCTAAAAGAATCTTTGCGTGCAAAAATAAAGAAAGAAATTCAACTATCCTAAGTTGAGATTTTACTCTTTGAGCCCATCATTTGACATCAAATCGTACAATACTGAAAAATAAAGTCGATTGCTATTCTTAATTAGTACCAAGGGCCACAATGGCCAGACCTAATTCTGACTCGAAAGATCCCGGGATATAACTATGGTTTAAGTCTCCACATCTAAAGTGGATCAAATCTCTCCTCGTTGGATTTCTAAGAAAATAAATAATGAATGTATTCATCCGAATGGCAGTAATTAACTATACGTACTAAAAACAGACAGCATTTTAAAATTTCCACGCACCTAAACAAAGTCTTCAACTCGGTAAAACAACGAATAGCCATTTTTCATACGAATAGCTGAATCTGCCAAACACATTTCAGATATTTTCTTATTGGAATAATGAATAGTTATTGCAGAATACATAAAACGTTCAACGTATGATCGTAGGTGAACCATTCCCCCTTCCCCCTGGATCAAGTATCCCCAACCTCCCCTACTCCTTGGCTGAGAACTGCATTCCAAATAACAACGGATTTTGTAAGCCCCTTGTCCTGAAAAATAAGCCTTTTATTGAAGATTCCTGTACAAGAGCATAGCAGGTGTTGAGATTCATTTTTTTACATGCCAAAGTGTTTTTATGTTACTTCATACGCGAAGTTTGGGATTTCCAGAGTTAGTTGGAAATGCTAACATAAAGCATATCACACTAAAGCTTCATGTTAGTATTTCCAACCAACTCTGAAAATCGCAAACTTCGCGTATGAAGTAACATAAAAACACTTTGAATGTAACAACTCAAGGCGGAAGTAGCCGTCAACAATGCTGATAAGGGGCTGTCCATAAACTACGTAGACAGTTTAGGGGGGGGGGGGGTTGACAATTATCCACGGCCCATACAAATTTTAATTTTTTTGTATGGACAATTGTCTACGCAGGGGGAGGGGGGGGGGGGTCAAGAATCCCAAAAAAACTGTCTACGTGGTTTATGAACAGGCCCTAATGGTGCAGCACGCAACAACCACCCTACTGTTTTCTCTCTGAGATGATCACGTTGGACATGACGAGAGGAGCAACAGCAAAGAAGAATTGCACACCATCGACTGGAAAATGCTCTCGCAACGTGTGTGATGAAACGTCGCTAGAACTATTCCACAGCCGCAGTCAGTAATGAGCAAAAGAAGGACGCACATCTTTAATTTGCCTGTAGACTTGAATACATACTTCAAGTCTCCGCGTACATTGTACGGGCTAGGCAAAAGATGTGCATTTGACTTTATACCGTCGTATTTTTTTTTGTTAATCCATTTATTTGTCAAGGCTCAAATGCGGAAATAGCTTTGCGGAGCCAAATATTTTTTACATTAATATCATTTCTTACAACTAATGTTAGTAGAACGGGGGCCGATTACTCGCGGCTTACTCAAGATTAGGGATTACATTTATTGATCATTTGGAGGGAGGACAAGAGAAAGCATTTTGAAGTAATTTAAAACTTAAACGTAAAGGATGACTAAAACACAAAACATACATCAACAGCTTTAAGAAAGTCGTAAATAATAAGTCGATCAGTGTTAGGAAAATAGTAAAAAATCAAATCTCACCAACGCCGTAGACAAAAATCAACAAGTAAACAACTGCGGTTGATTTTGCAAGCTGTGCTATCGCAGCTCGGAATATCAAGCTAACAAAACTCACCAACTGCAAATCTCACCAAACTGTGGTGAGATTGAGTTTAATGATTTTTGCTTTACACCCGAATGCAACCGAAACTACCATAACGGCTTGCAGCAGTCCCTTCGCGTCTGCCATCGGTGAAGATTAAAAAGAGATAGCGAACTATGCTTTCTTTTTCTAAGAAAACGATGTGCAATAGAATCTTTTTTGTGTCGAGTCAACTCTCAGCTTGATTTTTGCACGTTGTGAATAGTCTCACAATATCAAAGGAGCTTGTAAAATCAATATTAAGCATGATATTTTGTTCCAATATCACGCGTGAAATTGCGAGCGCATGAGAGCGGAAAAATGTCAATTGATTTCTGATTTTGCGAACACTGAAGTCGATATCATGGCAAGCTAAGACGTCGCTAATTGGCTTAAAGGGTTGTTTTCCTCGGACCCTAAGGGAATCACACAGAACGGATCTCGCCTCATGATGCAAGGAGCAGGACCAAACAACATGCTCGATGTCGTGATAACCGTTTCCACAGGTGCACAAGTTGCTGTCGGCAAGCGTAATACGGAAGAAGTGGGCGTTTAACGAACAGTGATTGGACATGAGCCTGGACATTACACGAATAAAATCACGACTCATATCCAATCCTTTGAACCAGGGTTTGATCGACACCTGTGGGACAATAGAATGTAGCCATCTTCCCAGATCACCATCATTCCACTTTTGTTGCCAGTTGGCGAGGACTTGCTGACGAGAAATCGTGAAAAATTCGTGGTAGGCGATTTGTCGCTCGTAAATATCGCCTTCCATAGCGCTCACCTTGGCCAGCGAGTCCGCTTTCTCATTGCCCGGGATAGTGCAATGAGAAGGGACCAAGGTGATGATATGCGAGCTGTTTGATAAAGCACTCAATGACGATCGTATTCCCTGGAGGAAATACGCCGAGTGCTTTATCGGCCTCATTGAACGCATAGCCTCCAGGGAGCTTAGGCTATCCGTAAAAATTAAATAATGGTCAGGTGGAAGTGAGGCAATACGCTCTAACGTGTACGATATAGCTGCTAGTTCAGCAACGTATACCGAACACGGCTTTTGAAGCTTGTATGAGGCGTTATGAAGATCGTGGAATACTCCAAAACCAGTGGACGCATTTATCACCGACCCATCTGTGAAAAATCTCTTCTTGGTGGGGACGTGGCGGTATTTGTTTGCAAAAATAGTTGGGACAATCAGGGAACGGTGAAACTCTGGAATTCTTTGAATCTCCTGCCTCATTGTGAGATCGAATCTCACGGAAGAACAACTGAAATGATGGGAGACAGCGCGATTGGGGTTGAACGAGGAGGGGCCGATGTCCAGAGTAATGTACTCGGAGTACAAGCTCATGAATCGTGTTTGAGGGTTCCGCTCTAGCAGCTTCTCAAAGTTTTCGATCACCAGCGGGTTCATGACTTCACAGCGGATGAGGAACCGGAACGATAAATCCGCAAAACGATTTGTTAAGGGGAGGACGCCCGCAAGAACTTCAAGACTCATGGTATGCGTCGATTGCATACAACCTAGCGCGATTCGAATGCAACGATATTGAATCCTTTGGAGCTTCAATATGTGCGATGCCTTGAAATTTGAAATCTTTGCGAAATTAGTTCACGTACTTTGAAACTGAAAGATTGAAAAAAAAAGTAAAAAAGGTTCATGATCTTTTCAAACCACGAAGGTTATTTTATTTCTTTCGTTGTCCATTCATCTTCTTACAATCGATAAGTGCTGGTAATGTGCTGGTATTCTATCAGTACCGAAATGCTGGTATTCTTAAAAACTACTCTAATAGGAATAACCAGACACCTTTGAAGATTAAATTTTGGAATAGTGAGTTATTTGTGCTAAATATGCTGCTTCTTTCGTGGATTGACCAGGGTAATCGAGAAAATTTACCACTATCGTATTTCGTACCCAAATTTGCTCGAGTGGAACATGCATCAAACTCACTTTGTAGCATGGTTTTGTTATTAAGTCGAGTGTTGACTGCCGCAAGTAACGGGATGTCACATATCATCAAAAAAATACGATCACAGGAGAAATTAGTAACTGTATTACTAATGGGCATAATGAGTTTCGATTCTTCTTCCTGACGAATGGATCAAGATCCATCACTGATCTTAAATTATGTCAGAAGGGTTAGATCTTATCATTGATGGACAATTATTGGTTTATATTTTCAAAAAACATTGGCATTAGCTTCGTTGTGGTTTTAAAAGTTTTTTCGATTTTAACTTCCTATTTAGCTTTATTTTGAGATGTTATCATCCTTTGCCTATTCTCCGAACTTTTAACACCTAATCTTTATGGTGAAATTCAGGCTTCTCGATTTGTTGGCTACAAATCATCAAAACCATAAAAATCATTCACAATAACCAGATTTAGATGATTCATTAAGATTGATAGGTTGCTATCGAGTTATTTTCGTACTGAGTATTGAGTTGTGATTTTATGAACCGGATTTATTTCAAGGGGTTTTGAAATTATGATATTGAACGAAACGACAATATTAAACAACGGCTCTAATAATTCTGTACAATTATAGTTTCCTGTAAAAAAAAATCAATAAAAGAAAAAAATAACAAATACCAAATCGAACTGTGAAACCCATATCTAACTGCATCCTAGTAGTGCTTCGAACGATCCATATCTAATTGAATGAATGTACTCTTGGTTTTGAATAAAACAAATGAACTGAAAACATTCCCAGCAATGACTGG